AAGAAATTTGTGCAAATAAAAATATAGATGAATTATGAGACATCATTGCAAATAAGATTATAAAAAGTATTTATACTACTCTTCTAAACCAAAAGATATCTACAAACAAAGTACTTTAAAGAAGCTGAGTACTAGCAATAAAATTTAAAAAGATCTGAAGCATCTGAAGAAGATCTGTTATATATGTACTAAAAAATTAAGCCAAAATATAGATGAAGAAAAATATCAATAGGCAAACTCAAAGATAGTTAGCCTTAATGAAAAATACAAAACTCAAATAGAGCAGATAACAGAAGAGTAGTAGACTACCAATAGACATGAGGACCTTAAAAAATAGTAGAAAATCCTTAGTACTAAAGCATAGCAAGAAAGAAAAAAAGAAAAACTTATAAATATAAACATATATATTAATACTCAATATAAAGCAATTCAAAGAGAACTAAAGCATATGCTTAATAGTTTTCTCAAAAGGCTTTCTAAAAAAGTTAAAATCGATAGAGTAATGAAAGCTAAGGAAGAAGAGAAGGTTTTGCTTACAGAAGAAAGAGAAGTACAAAATGAAGTATGATCACACTTTATGAGACAATTCTGAAAGTGTAATATAGAACAAAACTTTTTACCTTTAAAATAGATTAGAGCTTATAATTCTATAGAAAAGTTAAGCAAAGATATTTACTCTAACTTGCTTAACCAAGTTACAGAAGAAGAATAGAGGAATGCTCTTAGCAAAACAAAAAACAAATCAGTATTAAGAGTATCAGAAATAAGCTATTCTCTAATTAAGAGAGCAAGAAAGGTAGCTCAAAAGATCTTCACAATATTAGCAAACTATTGCTTAGCTATAGGAGATATTCTGATCAAGTAGAAAATAGGTCAGCTATACCTAATCCCAAAAAATGAAGATTAGAACTATGATCTTTCAAATATCAAACTAATTGTACTTCTAGAAGCTTTCTGAAAAACAGTAGTTAGAATACTTAATACAAGACTAGATTATATTCTAGTTATATACAAAGTATTAGAAGGTTCTAACTATGTAAAGTTAACAGGAGATAGCATTACAAGTTCTATTCATATTATGAATAATATCCTAGAAGATGTAAGACAAAAAGGCAAAAAAGTTTAGATATTGTTTCAAGATATGAAAAAAGCATTTGATTCAATAAGCTTAGAAATAATGAAAAAAGCACTAAGAAGAATCAAACTACTAGAACAAACAATAAGTTTTCTTCTTAGCTTATATAACAAAAGAAGAATTAAAGTCATTACAAAATATAGTCTAATTTAAGAATTTGTAGCAAAAGATAGTCTTAACCAAGGAGAAGTAGTCTTACTACTAATGTGATATATCTTTTATAACTCTCTACTATGCTTAATTCATAAAAAAGAAAATATAAGATATATTGTAGAATTAGAATGACCTTCTGATCTAAGCTCAAACAGAACTCAAGTATCATATTGGTAGCAGAGAGTGCTGATCTATACAGATGATACAACCTAGATAGCAAAATCTAAGGAAAAGCTACAAAAAATTATTGATATCTCAACAGAGTTTTATGAACTTAATAATATTGAAATTAATAGCAAAAAGTTAGAGCTTTTGGTATTAAACTTCAAAAATAAAGAAAGGAAAGCAGATTATATATCTGAAATTAGTCTTAGCAAAAACAAAGATATAGTATAAGCAAAAAAAGAAAAAGAAGTAATAAGACATCTCAGAGTATGAATATCTAAAAAAGGAGGAAAAGAATAAAATGAACTAATCATTTCAAAAGAAATTGCAAAGATATGCAAAGCTATTCTATGAAAAAAAGCTTCAGTAAGTCAGTTAGTTTATCTAAATAATAGTATTATACTATCTAGTATTAAATATAGGCTTCAAATATTATTCCTCTTCAAAAATATATGCAAACATATATAAATTATCACAAAACTCAGAATTAGTAATGTATAATATTTTTTTTTTTTTTTTTTTTTTTTTTTACTTTATACAAATACTATTAGCTAAATTTTTATTGATATAAATAGTGAGAAATATTACATATTATAAGAGTACAACTAGCCACATGTACAACTTTAGATTGTCTAATTTAAGTAGTCCGCCTGAAGATTCTACACTAGTTGCTATATCTGAAATCTATTTGAAAATTTCCTATTTAAACTCTCTGGCTATATGCTATTTCTAACTTACTATTCTATCGTAATTCACTTAACTCTATACCACTTCCTTTTTAGAAGATATTAACAAAGCTAATATTAGTTCACAAACTTTATAATTCAAAGCCTAGGCCTATCTCAAGTATCCCTTCACTAACTTCCTAATCAATAGGTGCTATAGTACTTAAATATGCTATGCTATATTCTAATTTAGCTTGTATATACTCTTGTTCGATGTTCGTACAAACCCAGTTCCTACTGTAGCTCTCCATTAGGTTAGTTATCTGTACCTGCAGATATCACATAAGATAGGCACTTTCAGATCTGGTTACTACTCAGACTAGTATTGCTAAAAGTTGTTTGTACCTCTAGATATCACACAGAACAGATCTTCTCAAATCCAGTTAGCTACCAAGTCAAGTTAATGTTGCCATACAACCTTGTATAACAGACCTATATGCACCTATTCTACTGATCTTTTCGTACTTAGAGTTTCTAATGGACTTATTCATATCCTAGTCATTGATCTGTTCGTATGCAGATTTTCTTTTCTGTATCAAGTGTTAACCAGTATGATCATCAAAATCTATACTACTTCATCTAACTTGGGATTTCTACCATGCAGGTCCTCTGCTCGTAAATCCTATCAAGATTTATTTATATAATATTATGCTCTTTAAAATGCCCTGTCATACTTCTAATATCCTAATTGGCATTGGTACAACACGATTTACAGGATTACAACCTCAGAAACAAGCAGAGTTTACCATAAGTTAGATACAGATATCTAAGTAATTATTCAATTCTGTTGACAGTAGAATTTGAATCCTAGACTTCTTGTATGGTAGTCTGATAACCTAACTACTACACTAAGATTGCCAGACCTTATAATGCATAACTTAAAAGCACTTGTTTAAATAATATAACTAGCAGTAAGATGAAATTAGATAATATAACTCTAAGACATAACCTAGTCTTCAAAGTGATAGCAGAAGCAAAAAAATTAGGTTTTAGCTTCCAGAAAAGTAGTTTTTATAAAACAAGTTTAAACTTAAAAAGCACTAGTCTATTGAGTATACTAGGGAAAAAAGAAGTAATTAACTACAGGAATAGTAATAATATAAATATTTTTGTACTAGAATAGCTAATCACAAGAAATAGTAATATTCTACTAATATAGCAGTAAGTTAAAATTATTAGAGGGTATAAGAGAAGAGGATGAAAACCAAACTGGTACAAAGATTTGAAGACAAAAGTCCTTGAAGATAGTAGCTCAAGAACTCTGAAAGCAGAATTTTAGATAAATTTGTCAAACTTATTAGCAATAAGATGCAAAGAACTAAAAGTATTTGTAGATAAGAGAAAAAAAGAATAGGTAATATTCAAGAAGAAAGGAAAACATGAATGTAAAAAAGTTATAAAAAAAAAGTCTAAGTATTTTACAGTAGAGTATTAGAAAATAGAAAAAAATGATAACTTAAGAAGTTTCACATCAATAATTAAATACAGAAGTTGCAAGTTAGGGAAGTAAAATAATATGAGCTATTTGATCAGACTTAAGTATGCAGATTAGCACCAGATACTTAACAAGGTTCACAGAGATAGTGAGCTCGCTTCTACTAAGATACCAATTTTGACTTATAAAGATAATAGAGAAATAGTTAACTTTGAAGTAATAGATAATAGAAGAGACATAGAAGTTAGTATTATAGAAATAAAAGAAGTAGTTATACATAGAGTAGTTAAAGATAATAATTTACAAAATAAGCTTAGTAGAATAGTGAGTATATTCAAAAGAAAAGAGAAGCTAGATATATATACAGATGATTCACTAGTAGTAGAAAATTTAGGAGAGAAAAAAGTTAAAAAGATGGGTATCAGTTGGGTAGTAGCAGATGATAGTAGAAAGGAATCTAGTATTAGTTTTAGTAGTAGTATAGTAGATTAGCTATTATCTATATGTACAGAACTAGGTACGATTTGAACAGCTCTTTTAGTAATACTCTTTAAAGCAACTGTTAGAATATTTTTAGACAATAAGGTAGCAATCGAAAAAATCCAAAACTTTAAAAGTTTTTTGAAACTAAGAAGCAACTTTAAAGCAAAAAACTATCTCTTAATCTGTAGACTATAGCAGGCAAATTTGCCTACTTAATAGTCCAAATATAGTAATAATCTACTTTTTTAAAAAGTTAAAATTATTAAATAAAAATTCATATATAAATATTTGAAAATAAAGATTATATTTTAGTAGTATTTATTTTTATATTATAAGATAAAAATTTTGTGTTATATATAAGCTAAAAATAGCTAATTTTGTGAAAAAATTTAATTTAAAAATTTTATCAGTATTTTTAGATGAACTTCTTTAATTTAAGTTTTAGAAATATAATTCTTAAAGCAATTTGATAAAACTTTTAAAGGATTACAACTTTAATTATTACAACTTTTGTAATTTACTTGTAAAAATTTAGACTTGTATTAGAAGTAAAAATTTTTTTTAGCTTCGGAAATATATAAAATTTAAAAATTTTAGAACAAAAATTTTATAGTAAAAATTTTTAAAACAAAACTTTAAAGTCTTGTTACTTTAAAGATTTCTAATAAATTTGAAGAAGTTTCTTAATAAAGTTAATAAAACAGATATTTAAAATTATTTTTTAATTAGTAAATATATTATTAAAATCAATATTTAAAATTTTTATCTAATTGTAAAAAATATTAAATAAGTTAACAGGCAAATTTGCCTGCTCTACAGATTAAGGGATAAAAGCTAAATAATAAATATCTAGTTAATAACATAATTAAAAAAAAATATTTTTTTAATATGATAGTACTTGCTTCTATAAATAATCATTGCTACTTTCAATTTCAGCAATTATTAGATTAGCTATTTTCTTAGCTGTCTTGTCTTGAATCATAGCAGTATTTAAGTTTACTACTAAATAAGTCTAATAAGCAATATCAGCTACTCTATTAATTTGAGCTTCAGTTATCAATTCTTAGATTTCATACTTAATTAAATCCTCCAAATTGAGATAATTACTTTCAATATAATTCTCATATTCAGGCTTAGAGTTTTCATCAGTTGCTATATTATGAGCCAAGCTATCTTTAGGAAGTACTTCAAAGTTGTCTTAATAACTTAATTTATAATTATCTAATGAATTTGTTCTTTTTCTTTATTTTTTTGTTTCTAGTTCTTTTTGCATCTTTTGTATATTTTATAGCATTTACTCTTCTACACAAATTGGTCCTTAGTAGATCTAGTGATCTTAGTGTAGTAGTTAGGTTGCCAGACCACCATGCAAGAGGTCTGAGGTTCAAATCCTACTGTCGATGAATTTGAATAATTACCTGAACCTTTGTACCTAACTTACAGTAAACCCTGTCTGTTTCTGGAGTTATAACCCTGTAAATCACATTACACCAATATTATTCAGATATTGGAAGTGTGACAAGGTATTTGGCAAAACATAATGTTACATAAATAAATCTTAATAGAATCTACAGGCAGAGGACCTACATAGTAAAAATCCTGAGTTAGTGAAGTAATACGGTCTTCGACAATTATACTGGCTAACGCTTGATTCAGAAAGGAAACTATTGACAAAAGATGCAAATCGAGTCAGGTGCATATAAATCCGTTTGACAAGGATGATCAGTAATACCAATTTGGCTTAGTAGCTAACTGGATTGGGAGGATCTGCCTTGTGAAACATCTGAGAAGATAGAATATAGAAAACTAGTAGAGAGCCACAGTAGGAACTGGGGTTATATAAACATCTACAAGGGTTTAAGCTAAATAAATTCATAAAATAGATATGGACTACTCTAGTAGGTATGCTTCGAGGTTAAACAGCTCTGTGATACCTACAATATATTAGATACAATGTATTCTGAGAGGATCTAAGCTGTTCTGAATAAATAGATCTGTAATAAGCTAGCTGGCTTAAGCGTTAGGTGTTGCAGTGACGTTAGGTTGGATCTGTATAGGTTAATAAACAGAATGTTTAAATAGATAACTTACAGGCAGGTTACAAGTATAGCAGCATAGTGTAGAACCAATCAGATAGTCTAATCATCTGTGTGGTAGACTACTTAAATTAGACAATAACTAAAGTTATACATATAGCTTGTTGTATACTTTTTATATAATTACAAACAGTAGGGACTATCAATATATATCTCGTATGCAATTCTAATAAAATTCCTTCGGCAATATAAGCCACCTTAATAACAAAAAAAAAAAACAAATTAGTCCTTAGTATAATTAGTTTTACAATTAGTGCAAAAATCTAAAGAATCTATTTAAAATTTTACAATATATTGTGATAATAGGTCTAAAATATTTTAAATCTTATAGGTTCAACTATTAAGAAGCACTATAGTAGAAAGTCATAAAAGCAATATTAAGAGAAATTTATAAATATAATATAGAAAAAATCACTAGAAGATTTAGAACTGACAATGTAAATAATTTGATTATATAGAATAATTTGATTAATACTTCAAGACTAGCTCAAAATATTTATATGAAAATTAACTTAGCAAAAGGTTAAAAATGACTTTATTTATAAGACTTAATTACAAATTATTCAGATTACAAACTAAATTTTTATTACATTTTTTTAGAAAAAATTTTTATTCTCTTTTTCTAATTCAATATTATCTAATACTACAATACTCTTTTTAATCAGATAAAACATGATATTTTTTGCAGCAACTATGATTTTCTGTTATATGCAAAATACAAATCTTTAATTTTATAACATATAAGGTTTTAAACAATTATATAAGTTTATATTTTTAGTATTTTATTTTTTCTAATATTACACTATTTATTTTTTTCCTTTTTAACTATATAAAATATGAGATTCATGATAACAACTTACCTTTGATGTTTCATATGTTCTCTGTAAGTTTTTTGTTTATATTTCTTTCTTTAGTTAGAACATACTTTCTGTATTTGTATCTTATGATAAAATCTATATTAATTAATTACTATAGTAAAGTTAACTGATTATTTAATTAAATAGAATTACATATATTTGTTGAAAAAATATCTAAAAAGGTGTGTATATTTGCATAATATCAATCTGTAATAAGTTTGATATATTCAAATAGTACTTATTAATCAGTTAATTTTTATTATATAGTTTTCAGATTCTGCTAATTAATTTGAATCCAGTATACATTATCTTAATTATCTATATTTTTCTGTATTAAAGTTATTAAATTATACTACATAGCAATTTAAGAATTATCAATGAGCATTAAAATTTACCATAGTGCAGCAGCATCAGGGATATGCAAAATCTGTAATTAACTGTTAATTAAAATTAAAGTACTGATTTAATAGTATAGTATCTAAAATTTTATCTCATAGAAACAAAAAACTTAAACAATTTTTTAAAAAATAAGTTGCACTAAATTTTTTTTTTCAAGAAATATAAAATTTTTTTGAACTAAAGCTATTAAAATATAAGATTTTATTATATTTTTATATTACTAAACAAAATATTATAATAATTTTATTAATTTGACTATACTATTATCAATATAGCTATTAATACTATATTTTGTAATTGATATTTTTTGTAATTTGCTATTATTTACTTTGATTACAGTGAATTACAAAATTTACATATTCTTGAATAACATATTAGAAAATTAGAGTTTTTAAAGAATCATTATAGCTTAAAATAAAGATATTCAATTTGTTACTTTTTAGTGATACATTAGTTCATATATTTAATTTATTTATAATCATTAACTTTTAAATACATAATACAAAAAAACTACTAATTTAACTATGAATTTTTTGTACAAATGGTATAAGATTCAATTTATATCAACTTTAACTATTATTGGATAATTCAAAATAATGTATCTGCTTTTCCGTAGATCATTTTAACCAACTTTAGAGCTAAAGGAAAAACACTTATATCTAAAAATCGGTATTAAGTAACATCACATAAGTCATTAAGAAAAAGGAAAGAGACCACATAATTACACTTAGTAAAGATAAAATCTTTAGAAAACTCTAAGTGTATATAGAAGAAAACACGTTTAATCAAAAAATCGAAGGAATTTTTGGTAAAAAGTGGGGATTTGCAAACACCCTGTCTCGCAGATCACTCTACGTAGCACAAAATACAAAACAAGGTAAACAAACTACACGTGTGTGAACCACTAACAAAACGCGTCACGTGCAAACCAATAGAATAGAAGTATGCATAATCCAAGCCGGACAAATCGCAGGCAAGTAGGAAATAACTCAGGGAGTTTGAAAAAAAAACCGAAAAACTTAAATAAGAGTGAGACAGGACTAGATGATCTGATAACAGATAAGAAGCACAGCCAATCTAGGCAGACAAATGAAACTTCCTTACTTAGAATCAAAAAAATAAATAGTAT